TGCTGAAGCTCTCTGCAGAACAGAGCAGGGAGGGGATAGCTGGGAAGTCAGGACAGCCAGCACTGCCATCAGGAGACATCTGCATTTCCAAGGGCTCCTGAGGAACCCAGCCAGGACAAAGAGAGCAGCTGCCTCTTTTGGGACACTTTGGGAGTCTCCTCTTTGGGGAAGGGATGGCTTCCAGAAGGGATTCCCAAAGCAGCAGCCTTTACATCCGTGGCTGCAGCCATTCACCTGTTCCTGAGGCTCTCACGTTCATTTTCCATCCAGGAGAGACGAACCAAAGGCGCTGCTGACATGGAGTGCTGAGATGTTCCCATCTCCCCAGGAGAAGCACTGCCCAGCCTGGGCAGCTCTGGGTTAATTGAACCCCACAGCCTGATTGGAAGAGAGGGTTTGGGGAATTCAGAATTCATTTGAGCAGGGTTTTTTTCTCTCCTGCCTGTGCCTGACCCACAGACTTCATTTGCTGTCTGGGTTGAGGGAGGCAGAGGCAGCCTGGTGTCAGGGTGCCCAGGTGGGAGGAGGTCTCTGAAGCCAGGGAAGCTGAGGCCAAATTCCTGGAAATCAAAGCCTGAGTGGTTTGCAGTAAATGTTTTGTGCAGCTTCTGCAGGTGTTTCGGTGCCATAATCGTCACCTTTGCTCCAAAGGACCTGGAAGCTCATCCCAGTCCAGGCCCTGCCATGGGGACACCTCTCTCTACCCCAGGCTGCTCCAGCCTGGCACTGCCAGGGGTCTCTGGGCACCCTGTGCCAGGGCCTGCCCACCCTGCCAGGGAGGAATTCCTTCCCAATATCCCATCTAAAACCACCCTCTTGCCTTTGGCAGCCCTTCCCTGTGTCCCAAGCCCTTGTGAACAGCCTCCCTCCATTTTTCCTGCAGGTCCTGGAAGGCTGCAAATATGAAGTCCTTGCTGTCTTTATGAGGAATTCACAATTGACTGCACATTCTGTGGTATTTTGGTGTCCCAAAAGAAGAGAATTAATATTCATCAACAGCCTGAAATGGGAATTTGTACCCAAAAAAAAAAAAAGAGAAAGAGCTTGTTTGAGATCTGTAATGATAATGTTCTTTCACAGCTGCTTTTGTGAAGGGGGAATAATTTAGCAGCACCAGAGCTGATGTTGACTCTCCAGTTTGTGGTGAAATTATGAAGTGAATGTTCCCTCCCAAGGACTCCAGAGCTGCTGATGGGAGCTGGAGGCACACTCTGGAGAGAGCCTGGAGTCTGCTGTGCTGCAGGATTGTAAATTGGTGCAATTTCACTGCACTGCCTCCATCCCATGGAAAACAGCATTCCACAAAAAATGAAATGATGTGATTTTTTTTTTTCTTTAAACTTTAGAAAAATGAATTTATGCTAAAATGGCCTTATGTTTTATTTTTGCCCCCTACATATAATGTTGGATCCTATGTGACAATTTATCCACAGAAGCACTTTTTTCTCCCCCTCCCCTACTCCTAATAGGAAATTTCTGCAGACAGAAAATCCTTAAATGTGAAAAGGCCAGAGGCTGGTACAAGCTAAACAGAGGAAGATTAAGATCAAATACAAAACCATGGTGTAACAAGATAAGAGGCAACACAGCTTCAGAACAAAATATTTAGATAAGGATTATTTGGGACACTGCAGGGAGGGAAGAAAAGGGGTTGGAAGGGGTTGAGGCTGTGCTTTTCCTCCCAGTGTTCCTCGTCCCCTTCACCCCTCTCCAGCACCTGCCTTGGTTTGCTGTCCTTGGAGCTGCACAGGAAGTCTGTCCCTGAGCAAGGACAGTGCTGCAGAAGTCACCATGGAAAGGTGGAAACCTGGCTGCTTTTCCATGGGAACAATTCCCTGCTTTCCTACAGAGGGAGAACTGTGGGGTAACGACACCTATGTCACAAATCTATTTATATACAGATTTTATAGAAAATACAGTTATAGAAATGATTTTTCTCTAGAAATGTAGAAATGCAAACACAAGACATAAGAGAGTAGTTGTGGGTGTGAAGGTGTTTCCCAGCCATTGCCCATTTAATCCTTAATTTTGTGACAGAAGCCAACACCATTGATTTTGCCTAAGGCATTTGACCAAAAGGGAATTATTTTTTTTAATATCTGCTGAGGAAAGCCATTTTAGGGGTAGCAGTTTCTTAAATAATTGGAGTGGGATTTGTTAGCATTGTCAGAAGGAGTGACCTTGTTGTTGGTATTCGCTAGCAAAGAGCTCCAGGAGCATCTCAGGGCAGACGAGATGTTACTCGTGGGACAATGAATTTGTTCTTTCCTGTGAGACAGGGCTCCCAGGGACAGGGTGGGATTGTTGGGGGTGTGTGTGCAGGGCTGGACTCGGTGATCCTTCCAGGCTGGGATATTCTGTGTTCCCGTGGCACAGGAGGCTCGATGGGATGCCAGGAACAGCTGTAAGAGGCTGTGTGAGCCCTCCCAGGCGCAGGGCTGGCTCTGGATCCCTGCTGCAGGTGTGCTCCTCATCTGGGGGCTGAGGGAGGGCTCTCAGATAAAAACAGAGCTCCCTGCTGCCAGGGCTGAGCCCTGGGAGTGATCACACACATGGACCTGCACTCACAGCAGGGAGGGACCCCACACCTGGAGCCTTTCTGCAAAGGGCTTGGACAGGTAAGAACAGTTTCCCTGGGCACCCTGTGCCACACCAGCCTCACAGGGAAGGATTCCTTCCTCAGCATCCATTCTAAATCTACCTTTATTCAGTGGGAAGCCATTCCCTGTGTCCTGTCCCTCCAGGCCTTGTCCCCAGTCCCTCTCCAGCTCTCCTGGAGCCCCTTCAGGCCCTGCAAGGGGCTCTGAGCTCTCCCTGGAGCCTTCTCCTCTCCAGGTGAGCACCCCCAGCTCTCCCAGCCTGGCTCCAGAGCAGAGGGGCTCCAGCCCTGGAGCAGCTCCGGGGCCTCCTCTGGACTCTCTGCAGCAGCTCCAGCTCCTTGTGCTGCTGGCCCCAGGGCTGGGGCAGCTCTGCAGGTGGGCTCTCACCTCAGCTCAGGGGTTGTCCACCCATTCCCTGCCCTGGATTTTCCCTGCTGAACTCCACAGGTTCTAGGCAAGCAGGCAAATCAGAAATTTTGCTCTAATTCCCACCTGTGAAATCCTGCTGCAATCATTGAGGCACCTGGGCTGTAACAAGACCAGCCTTGCCCAGTGGTTTTTATCTTTAATGAACCATCATGTCACGCTTGTGGAAGGGCTGTGAGTCAGGATGGGCAGCCCTTCACAGCAAGAATGGCAGGAATGCTGAATACAAAAGCCTGGGGACGTGTTAGAAAAGAAAATGAAATGTAATGTGGTGCTGCAACCTCCAATAGGTTGGAGAAGAAAGGCCACAAATGATAGGCTTTGTCCAGAGATGTGAAACTTTTAATCAAATCAGCTGAGCAATATTTGTACCCATCTGAGGTTTCAGCTCTCTCTCAGAGCCAGAGTTCAGGGAGGTGTGGCCTCTGTGTACCTACAGAAATCCAGTTTTGGAGCTGCATCCCTGTTCCCAGCCAGGAAAATATCCTGCATTAGCATCTCACCAGTTCAGGGAAACCTGAATTTCCTGCACCACCTGTTCATCCAGGGGGGCATCATCACGGTGCTCTCTGCTTGCTGGGTGGGATTTAAAGCCTGAAGAGCTCCCAGGGGAGCTGTGGCAAGGTTGTCTCCTCCCCAGAGAGAGCAGAGGTGCAAGGAAAGCCGTTGAGGAGGGGGAGGAACATCCCACACCAGGGGATGAACTGGGAAATGAAGTGCCAAAGGGACAGGGAACAGAATGTCCTGGCCATGGGGACCTGTTTGGAGCCAACCCACACCAAACCAGCCCTGAAATGTTGTGTGTTACCTGCCCAGGCAATGCTGCAGTTGCTTTAGGCCCGTATTTTAAGGATATTTCAGGTCCAAATACACAGAATAAAAGTGCCTGCAGCTCTCACCTGCTCTGGGGAGGAGGGCAGAGCTGGGAGCACCGAGCAGGAAAACACACAGGAAAGTTGGGAACTGACTTCAGGGGCATTAATTCCTTAATGTAGTGAAAAAGGAGGAGGAAAAGAAAGGTTAAATTATGCCTGCACATATTTGTTTTCTGGCACACTAATAGGATCCTGTGGCTGACAGCAAGCTGTGATTAGCTACTTGCAGGCATTTTTGATATTTCCCCGTGATGAAATGACATGTTTGAATACAGAGGAGAAGAAATAATGAGATTCTTGACTTGCCCCTTTCCTGTGTTTTAATTATAAACAAGCAGATGCAATTCAAAACATTAAATAAGATTTCCCCACATTTCCTTCCTGAAACAGTTTTGAGCAAGATAAGGCACTTAAATTTAATCCTTCCAAGAATGCACAAATACTGAATCCCTGATGCAGACGCAATCTTACCACGAATTTACACGGAAGCTTAATGGTTTTTCAAATTAATCAATAACGTGCTTAAGTTATATTTGCTCAGCTAATTATTTTCCATGTCCTGTAAATCTGAGCTTCATCAGCCTCAGAGAGAAAGCTGCCCTGCTGTTTGCACCCCGTTTGTGTTTGCCTCCTGATGCATTATTGCAGAGCTTGTTTATTTGTTCTGCTCGGGCTGGCAGCTTTTCCTCTGCTCTTTGAATGGCAACCATGGGGCTGCAGAGCCCAGCAATGATAATTCCATTTCTCTGGGTTCTCTCTGTCAAATCCATTCTAGCAGGGAAAGGCTGGGCATTTCTAGGCTCTCCTCAAAGCCTTCCCTGGGGGAGCAGGATTTAGCCCCCCCTCTTCCCCCAGGAAAACTTGGGGATGTTTTTGATGGTGGAAATGGAGCTGGGCTCTCAGCCTGGGGATTTTGAAGGGCACAGCTTTGAGCGTGGGTTAGATGAGATGTTGTTTAGGGGCTCCTTCTGACCTGAATTATTCTGTGATTGCAGGCATCTGCTCATCCAATAAATTTTCCCCCCTCAGTTTTCCTGAAGCCCCTGGACCCAGAGGTGATTGCAGCAGGCAAAGCAGCAAAAAAACCCAAAAGGACAAACCAGCTGCAGAGGTTGGGTAAGTCAGTGGAGACAAAAGACAAACTGAATTTGGAAAGATTTGTAGAATGCTTCTTACTTTGCCTCCCCTCCTAACCATGGTTTTGCACATGGGAACACACTTGGGGAGCATAAAATATTCCCTAAATGGGACTTTTATCCCTTCTCTATCCCTGGCACATTTAGCACTTCTGCATTTGCTTTCTGCTTTTGAAGAGATATAAATGGCAAGAGAAAAACTGGAGGCAAGAAAGTTCAGATGAATAGCAGCAGGCTTGTATTTCAATATCTAGGTAGTTATATCCTAAATTGTTCTTTTATTGTGTAACAAATTAGGTTTTCTCTTAACATATGGAGTTCAATTTTGCCACAAAAGAATCCTAGTTTATGCCTGGGTTTTTATTTCCCATGCTAGGGCACATTCAGAGATTAGGCTGAATATTTCATGCATACATTCAAAGCTATAAGAATCTGTAAAAAGGATCTACTGTTCCCTCTCTGTTTGGGAATTTTTCTTAGATTTTTTTTTTTACCCTATGGTTTCTGTTGTTCTGGTTTTCACAAATGTCTTCACCTGGCATTTTCCAGGAAAGAAAGAAAGAAAAGATCACATCACACAAGAACGCTTCAATGCCTTAAAAAAGGCAAAACCATCTTGCCATAAATCTGAAAGGTTTTTGTTTTGGTTTTTTGAAATAGAAGTGGTGTTTTTCTGATGTAGTTTCAGGTAGAGCTCTCACAGGTCTTGGGGCACCGATGCTTCCCACTGCACTTCCAGCAGACTTCTGCAGAGGGAAAGGATTTGTTATCGTGGCTTAAATCCCATCCTGAGGAGCTGAATGTGCAATCCTTTAAGCACAGGGATGTCTCTGGAGTGCTGCCTATTCCCACAGCTCGCTGTGCAGCAGAAGGAATGTCTAGAGGTGTGTGTATATATATTTTTATATATTTATTTCTCCCCCTACCACGGTGTTTAGCAGCTTTGCTTGTCCCTTACAGAACTGTCTCAGGTTTGGGGCTACTTCCTCTGCACCCTTCAGATTTGCTTTGTCCCTGGGTCCTGTCTTCTGCAGCATCAGAGCAGAAGTGCTTTGCTTCTGAGCTGAGGTGGAATATTCCTGCTTTTCCCACAACCCAGGAACAGCACCAGGGTTTCCTTGGTGGGACTGCTCCATCCCTCAGCATGAACACAGCCAAGGGCAGGGCTTGGGGCTTTTTATTAATTTTTAGAAATAATTACCCCAATGCAGAGCATTTGTCTCACAAGGCACATTTATCCCAAGTGGCTCTGGCTGCTCCCAGCTCTTCCAGAGGGACCCAGGATCTGGCACAAAACCAGGATGAGAACCTGCCTTGGCCTCTTGCTGCTCTCTGCTGTGGCTGGGGGCTCAGCCACGCCTGTGGGCTCTGGGTAGTGCTCTTTTGTCGCCACTTTGGGTTATTTTGGCGCCACTTTGGGTTATTTTGGCGCAACTTTGGGTTATTTTGGCGCCACTTTGGGTTATTTTGGCGGTGCCATGGGTTATTTTGGCGGTGCCATGGGTTATCTTGGCGCCACCGTGGGTTATCTTGGCGCCACCGTGGGTTATCTTGGCGCCACTTTGGGTTATCTTGGCGCCACTTTGGGTTATCTTGGCGCCACTTTGGGTTATTTTGGCGGCGCCGTGGGTTATTTTGGTGGCACCGTGGGTTATTTTGGTGGCACTGTGGGTTATTTTGGCGTCGCCGTGGATTATCTTGGAGCCACTTTGGGTTATTTTGGCGGCATCGTGGGTTATTTTGGTGGCAATTTGGAACAGCTTTCAGGTTGTGTGGCTCTGCTTTTGCTTTGGGGTGCATTTTGTGTGACAAACAGTAACTAAGAGCTTAAAATTAGAGCATGGTATGAAATTCTGGCCTGTTGCAATGAAGAGCAGAGTTAAGCGGCTGAGGGGTTTTTTCTGTCTGGGAAAGGAGGGATAACAGTGAATAAAGACAAGATAATAATGGTTTAAAAGAAAAGCATTCACGAAGGGATTGATTTACTGTAGGCTTAATGGAGGGTTGCAAGGAGAGTTTATCCAGCAGAGGAAGGTAAGCTGAAATACATGAAAAAAATATCCCTTATTTCAGAGAATAAACACAGCTCTCTATGTGCATCCTAATTATCCTCCTTTCAGGAAAAGTTAATATTTTCTTTGTAGCCCATTTAGGTCAAACTCATTCACAAGCTTCTTTTAGAGGCAGCAAACTTGTGGCTTTCAGCATTTCTTTTCCAGCATTGCACAGACCACAAACACTGTGCTGGTTGCTTGCCACAGGACTCTGTGGTTTATATTTACATTCATATTTACTTTTATTTTTTTACTTTTATTAATTTTTATAATTTTTTTACTTTTTTTTTTACTTTTTTATTATTTATTTATATTTTTATTTTTTATTATTATCATTATTTTTTTAATACAGGGGTCTTTTGTGTAACCAGGCCAAGACTTTTGTTGAGACCCTCCTCTCACACCAGCATAGTTTATAGGCATAATGAACATAAAGAACCATCATAGTATTTGCTCACAGTTCCCATTAGAAGAGACTAAATTATATTATTCCCATTAAGATCATGTCACCATGATAGGCAACAATGTAAAGGAACAAAGCCTGGTAAAAAAATAAGCAATTCCAGACAAATTGATTTAATGAATGACACAAACCAATCAATAGCAGCAATATTTTAATAGAATTTTGCAACCAATTGATAAAGTGTAACTGCAGACCCACAGAAATCAATGGAATTTTGCCTTCGACTGAACTGGGAACATAATTCAATTTGTGGCGCTTAATGGAGAGCAACATTCTTGTTCTAGAGTTTGGCTGACTGTTTTAAAAATTTCATTGGAAGTTTATGATGTGAAACCCTTTTTTTCCTGCTTAGGGACAAGAGAAATGATTTGGGGAATAAGTGATGAAACCAAGGGGCTCTGCCCCATCCCTCTCCACTCGGCATTTTGGGCACCAATTCTGTGGAAGTGGAGCCTCTGCAGGTGCACCCGGTGCCCTCTGGGTGTGCAAATGGATGCACATCCCGCAGGTCAGAGGAGAAAAATGCTCTTTGGCTCAGGTGAGTGAAGCTCTATCTAGAAAAGCTGATAGCTCTGAACTGCTCCCTCACCCTGCTGGGTGGATAAATTTGCCACAGGTGTTCCTGAGAGTTGTTCCTGCGCTAAAACCTCCAGAGCTGCCATTCTGCGGTGTCCTTGGGAATCTATCCCAGCCCTTAATAATCGTTTTCATTAGAAAGGGTTTTCAGGAAGCTTAAACTGAATCTCCTCGCTGCAGACTGAGGTTCCTTCCCCCAGTCTGCAGCTTTCCTTCAGATCACAATGTTTTTCCTGACCTGACTCCTTCAGCCTCTCCTGCTCAGCTTCATCACCTCCAGTCCTTTCCCCTCTGTCACTTTCCTTACATTCATCCCCCCACTCATTCACCCCCAACCCCAGGTTGGTTTTGGCTGCTTCTTCTCTCCCTTTCCAGGTTTGTTGCCCTAAACCCACCCAGAGCATCCCAGGGGAGCCTCCCCGCTGCAGAGCACTCGAAGCACGCTCCCCCAGGTGGTCACAGCTCAGGTAAATGGCTCTCTGAGCCTGCAGAGCCCTTCCCAGGGTGTGTGGGATGCACTGCTCTCCGTTATCCCGGGCTGTGGGGCTCAGCACATCCCCCAGCTGGAGGTCTAAAGCAGATTTCCTTGTTGCTGGACTGCTGAGGGGAGTAGGATGAGACCCCAGAGAAATTCAACAGCAGCTGAAATCAGTGTCTGGAAATAGGAATGTGATAGTTCTCCTCCCAGTACAGCCTTTTGTTGTTTGACTGACTGGTGGGTTCTGCCTCTACTTTACATTCTTGTTAGTCTTTGCCATCCCTCCAGTGTCTCTGTTGCTCCCCACTGCTGTGCCAGATGCTTTAATAAGGTCCAAATGGATTCGATTTTATCAACTTTTATTTTCTAGAAAATGAAATAGCAAACAAAACCTGAACTTATTTTTTTTTTTGCTACATCCATGCTGCATTTTATTTTACTTTCCATTTATTTCCTGAGGAATTGTTAAGCCTCTTCCACACTCGCCTCCCTAAGCTGTCCGGTGTAATTAGTAAAGAATAACGAGATCAGATCAGAGGAGCTGTTCTCCCTGGCTGCTCTAGGCTCTCTCACCTCACTGGCAATGGCCTTGTGAAGAGATGCAGCTCCTCTCATCCTAATGACCCCTCAATTCCATATTCTGCCTGTAATGTGAGCCCTGCTCCTCTCCAACACAACAGCACCAGGTTTCCTGAGACCTCCTCCTTCTCCATCTCATCCTTGGTTTTAAGTCAGTCTGCACATACCTGTTTACCATCTTTTTTCCTTTCCCTTCCCTAACTTCCAGCCCCCTAACTCCCAGCACAGCGTTGGGATAAATATTTATTAGACATTCCTCCTTCTCCTGAAGTGCTGTCCCCGGTGCCAGCTGTGCATTTCACACCTGGAAAGAAAGCAGCAGCTGCTGAAGCATGGACAGAGGAATTCCCATTTTGCCTGGCCAGGAGCAGCTCTGGCTTGTCCCTGAGGAGGAGCCTCAGGAATGGGGTGCCCTGGCAGGCTGGGGCCTGTCCCCATGCAGGGACACAGGTACCAAATGATGGGGAGGCATCCTTGGAGCTGGTCGTGATGCTGGGGAGGAGTTCTGGGAGCAGAACTCCTGCAAAACCCTCCTGCTTTGGTCTGTGAGCTGGGGTCTGGGGTGGCAGTGCTGGAGCTCACTTTGGTGAGGTTCATTTTGGAGGTGGACATTAACAGCGTGATTACATGCAGGATGTGCACTTGGGAGAGGACAAAATGCAAGGGGGGACCAGACTGGACAGGAAAGTGTCCAAATCATGACTAGGAAAGATGAAAAAAGCCCCTTTTCTTCATGGCTTGAGACCTACTGGATTAGTTGCCAGCAGTGCTTGGCTGCTGGAGAGCTCCAGTTGAGGGGTGTATCGTAATGCTGAGCTCCGAAAACCATCTTGGGAGTCTGAGCCTAAAACCTTGTTGCTGAGGGCATCAGGCAGTCTGATAAGAGCTATCACCTCTTTCTACAAACCTTGCCTCTCACCTATCTTTAGGCCATCAATCTACCTTCTCTTCCTCTTTGATTCACCCACTGAATGTCACAAACAGAGCAGTTCCCCTGGAACTGGCTCTATTTCCAAGAGCTCAGCGCCAGCAGAAGCCCTCAAAAGCACTTGGAGGTGCTGTCTGTAAGCAGCAGAGTAAGACAGCAGTTTTCTGGCAGCTTCTGTTTCTGTCAGGTTGTCCTGCTCCCTGTGTGCAGGCAGGGAGGTGACAAATTCCTTGTAAAAGCCTGAAGCGGTTTAGTGGATTAAATACTCGGAGGAGTGTTTAATATTTGATTACTGTAGGGTTTCATTACTCTGCAAGCAGGTTCCTCAGTGTCCAGGAGGCAGGCTCCATCAGACATGGAAGCACTCAGAGCCTGGCAGCGCTGTCAGGCTGGGGATTTGGGGTGTGCTGCAGCAGGTGACAGGAAAGAAATGTGAGTTCTTTCCAACTCCAGTGACAGTCAGGGCTCGCCTCGAAGCTGGAACTGGAGGTCAGTGGCCCAGATGAGCAGGAGAAATCCCTGTCTAAGCAGAGCAGGTGTTCCTCTCACCCCAAAACGCTTGAAGAGAGAGGGGAGGAGATGCCCTTTCATCTTTTAACATTAAAAACATATCAGAAGTGCAGGCAGCAATATTAAAGGTAGCAGAAATAAAAAGGCCTCTGTTGGCTTCAGGCCATTTTCTCCTGGAGTAAGAACAGATTTGAGATCACCTTTTGCCTCACCAGGATGGAGATGCAGCAGTCGATCAGGCTGCCAGAGGAAGCAGTGGAGCCATTGAAGTGGAGTGTGCTTTCCCTGAGCAGCCCTTTGGGGAGCTGAAAACAACGTGGTTAACCCAGCAGGTAATGAGTGGGGAGTGAAAGCCACGAGCAGGAAGGACATGATGCCACTCACCAGCTTCCTAAACAAGTGATCACAGCCAGTCCCGAGCTGGAGATCCCTGGCACTGCAGTGAGCACCGGTTTGAAGTGTGCCCTTGAGAAATCTCCACGTTTGCCTGCTCCAGGAGTGTTCCTGAGGCTCCAGCTCAGCCCCTTAGGCTGCAGCCTAGCCAAGCTCCCTGCTGCTGGTGAGAGCACATCAGGGACTCTGGACATCATGGCTGGACATGTGTGCAGGATTGGAGCCTCTTCCTTCCTCTATAGGTGCATGTGGATGGATGAGCACTCTGAAATTAAAGGTGGAGAGGTTATTCACAGAGGAATTAACCCTGCTTTAGGGGTGGAGTTCAGTGTTTGTGTTATTGATGCCTGTAACTGATTAAACACTGAGCCTCATCGACAGGTTCTGCTGATCCTGTGGACTGGGGATGTTCCACTTCTCCCTTTCCAAAGGGAAAGGGCATTTCAAGAGGCAGAGAGGGAACAGAAGGTGGTGCCCCAGGGAGAGATTCAAATGAACATCCTGATCTGAAGGGAAGAGCAAATGTAAATCTGAGAGAGATCCTGGGAGAGATGAGGTGTAAAGGCTACGTGCTCCCTCAGCCGCCCATTTTCCTCATTGAGGGCAGATTTTGGGGTGGGCATGTTTGCATAAGAGCAGGTCTTGTCCTCTTGAGGCAGGGAAGCATTCAAAGAGCACAGCAGAGGGATGATGCACAGTGAGGAGTCTTCCAAAGTCTGGCCAGGTGTAAGCAGGGATTTCCTTTTATTTCCTCACATCTGACCCTAACTCTGTGGTACCTTGCTGTGCCCACCCTGGCAGCATTTGTGTGGTTTCTGCTCTGAGAGAGAGGTGCTGTTCAGGGAGGTTTGGAAATGCCTCAGCCAGCCAAGCCCCTCTCTCTGAGCACCTTCAAATGGAGCTCCTGTTCTCTGGGGGGCACAGGGATGTAAGAGCCCTCTCCAGGCTGACCCAAACTCAGGATTTACCTGCAAAAAATGGGTTTTTCCACAGGTTAGCAAAGCCAGGGACTCGCTGGTACTTGAGAGCTTCAGGAGGTTTTCCATGGTCCAAGATATTTGTAGTGGTTTTGGGTTTTATCCCAGCCTGTCTCCTGTAAACTTCTGAAAGCTGTAAATTCACCTTCAGATTTCATTTGATGCTTTCCCTCTGCTGCCTCTTTCCCCTCAGGTTCCAACAAAAGGAACCCTCTTGCACCTGCAGCAGTGTCCCCTGGGTTTCCCCCTCTCTGCACAGGATCTCACCCACCAAAAGCTCTAATTCCCACTAAAAATGGACCCCTCTCAGCCATTTTGCCCTCCCTGGATGTATTGCTGCATTTTAATCCTATTTCTCAGAGTGGTTTTCATCTTCTCTGCAGCATGCCCTGGTGATTTTCCACATGGCCTCCACTGCTAACCCCCCCGGAGCATCCAAGGGAGAGTTATTTCCCAGCACCCCTGATGGATAAAGCAGCCAGCAGAATGGATTCAGGGCATTAGGCATGGTCTGTGCTCACCTTCAGGAGCTGCCTGCCTGAAAACACTGCACAAGGAGTTTTTCTGTTAAAAAAAAAAAGAAAAAAAAAAGAAAAAAAAAAGACATTTAAGTGCTGGTTTTAAGAGGGATTTTCCATCATAAATTGATTTCTGGTTCTGAAGTTAAAGTAAGAAATCCAAAAACTGGTTTGGGGAAGTCGGAGGTTAAGGAAGTCCAGCAAGATGGATGGAGACTGTGCTGGAGTTTAATAGCTCAGGTTTTGTGTGCAGTGTTCCCCCAAGGGAGCAGTGTCTGCCAGAGAAGGGAGTTTCTTCTAGACCCATCTCTGACTCCTGATTTCATCTCCTTCTTTGTGGCATGGTGAAAACTGCCCCAAATTTCTGCATCACAGGATTCTTCTTTTCTGTCTGTGGAAGAGTGATCTAAAACTCCTCTCCCTGTAACTACAAACCTTATGATGGATTTATTTCTGTGTTTCCTTCC